GGGTCCTGCAGGAGCCTGAGGATTCTCCAGCCCTGCCACCCCAGGGAGATCCGGGGGGAACGGACACTCTTTGGCCTCTCGTCCCTTTTAATGGCTCTGCTCAGCTGCAGCTTAGAGCCAATTAATTTTATGAATCCTATTTGTAGCTCATGTTCCTCCTTATATAATCCTCATTTGTTTCAAATGAGCAGAGTGTGCCCCTGAGATTCTAAACATACCTCTTTATTAGAGTTCAAACAGAAACTGTTACCTACAGGAGCTAAACTTAGCACTAATGTATGAAATGAGATGAAGAGATCCTTTTAAACCCCCTCCCAAGTGTTAGATAACATAGACTGCACAGGGAGGGGGAGAAGGGACTGCAGAGTGCTGTGAACAGCAGCTTTAATGGTCTATTGTAATTATTTCTCCGGGAGGAAGGAGATTAAAACCCAAAACTGCAGCCACTGGTTGCACAGCAATCGGTCTCTGATCTCCTTGAAGCTGGACAGACCGAGCCTGGCCTCCCCCTGCCCTCAGGACAGGCTTGGGGAAGGTTTGAGAGCAGTTTTATAGCTGAGAACACATGATTTTAATTGCCTTTATTGCTGCTTTGCCACATGAACACCGTTTCACGTTGCTGAGTGTTCTGGATGCCCCAGTTGGGATATTGGTCTCCCACCTCCACAATTCCCTTCACAACCTGTGGTTCAGCTGCCAAGGATATTCTGTTCGAGTCAAAGCATGAGAGAACCCACATTGTTTCAGGTATTGAAGGTTCCAATGAGCTGAAAAATGTCCAGTTTTCCAACAAGCCCAGAGCTGGAGAGCAGGAGGGGAGAGGGAGGCAAGTCCAGGGAACTCTGGCATCGTGACCATGGCACAGCTCCAAAATCCAGGCTTGTCAGTCCTGCCAGAGGTGACAGATCATCTGAGGGCTCAGAAGAATTTAACTTCAAACTGCAAATTGGGTAAAGACCTTACAAATTCACAAAGGTCTCAGTTCAGCCACGATCATTTTCTGTGCCACAAACAGAAGTGAAGAAGAGGCTGTGGGCTCTCCAGTGGGAATTCTGCCCTGGGAGAAGCTGGGCTGGGAAGAACTGGGGGTGTGGGGGAGCTGGGACTGCCCCAGGCACAGGTTTGGGGAAAGGGGCTTTTCTTTCTGTTTTTGTAGTGGATATGTGGAATCAAACAAAGATTTTACACAAGAAACACAATTAGACGTGGCCTTTTAGCTTGGCTTTATAATCTCCCACCAATGCACTGAGGAGCTGCTTTTCCTCCTGCTCCCAAAAATGTGTCTCAGGGTTGGAGCAGAAAGGTGACTGTGGCTGTGGCTTTTTTAAATGAAATCAAAATGTGTCTTTCATCCTCTTGTGTCCCTAAAACAATTTATCCTACTGTAATTATTAGCATTCTCATTAAGAACAGTTTAGCTGAAAACCGAGACACAAAGACAGCAGTGACTTCATCAAATCCAGATAAAGCAGGTTCCTAATTCACTTCTCTGCTTTGAAATAAATCCTCAGAGCATCAATTACTGTATCTGTTGTAAAGCAATTACTATCAGCCTCCATGGCTCCCCTTTACACATTTTAATTTAATCATTATTTTTGCTTTAAAATCCAGGGTAAGGAATTTCACAGTTCCTCAGGAAGAACTAAAGCAGACAACAACAACAACAACAACAAAAATCCTGTAAGAGCAGAAATTACTTTCTTTTGTAATCAGGTTGATTAGACTCATGTATAATCATACACAGCAGGTGGGAAGATTAACATTTCACTAATTCCTAGTGGTCATTACTGCAAGGAAATTTAATCTGCAGAGTTCACAGGGATTGCAGTTGCATGCTGGTAAAGCTCATTTAAAACACAGAGCAAGACCAACACAACTTTGTATTCTGGAATCCAGTTTTACTCAGAACTATTTTGGCCTGCAGGCAACACACATACACCAGGATCTTCTGCTTAATTGAGGAATAGATTTGTATTGATCAGCCCACTTAACAAGCACATCCAGAGCCCTTCCTGCTCTCCTTGCTCGGTGGGGACTGCAGGCAGGCCCTGCTGGGTTAAGTTACTTGATAAAATAGGTATTTTTACAGCAAATGCATTCTTCTGTGTGGGGGCTGTGTTAGTGCAGAGCACTGAGAGAGTCAGTTCTCATATTCAGATCAATTCAGAGAATTCTGCTGAAGTTGAACAAATTATTAATTTCTTTTCCTGGAAACAAAAAGAGACATCATTATTCTGATCAGATTCTGCTTCACTAAACCTGGATTCTACCCCAAACTAAAGTGCCCAGTAGCCTCCAGGGTGAAAGTTCTGCTCACCTGCTCCTCCTGCACCTTTGATTTCTGCCCTTCTTCCTTCTGGTTCCTCTCAGCAGGAGCCTTTCCATGGACACCCAGGGGTGCAGCTCAGGGTGGCTGGACTGAGCTGGGAATGCCTGAGGGAATCTTGGATGGGTCAGGAGGGGTGACTGCTCTGCTCTTTCACTTGGATGGGCTCTGGCTGAGGTTTGGCTGGTTCCTGTCTCTCACAAGCAGAGGGAGGTGAAGGAGCAGAAAGGAGGGTGAGTCTAAAGTGAACAGGTCTCTGGGTGGGAGGGGAAGCAGAGCCCGAGGGCAGCAGTGTGGGCACCGTCCTCCTCCTGCTTCTCCTGGGGCTGATCCCCTGGGCTGCACCACCTGGAGACCCCAGTGGCACAAACCCACCAGGACACTGGGGTAGAACGATGGGGAGGAAGGGTTTTAACTGGGCACGTTGGGCTGGATTGGGCTGGACTGGAATAGGATGTTATTCCAACTCCAAATCCACCAGGGGCCACTGAGCCTGTGTTTTACTGAACGTCAGAGATTCTTGCTGTGAAAATTGTGCTGATGTTACACTGATGTAATGCTGGAGTCCTTCATCCACAGAAGCTCTGGGGAGTCTGAGCCCTGGTGGGACTGGTGACACTTCTTTGTCCCTTGCAGGCCCAAGAACTCACGTGGAAACGTGGCTGAGTCACAAACCTCTGGTCCAGCCAGAGTCATGCCTAGGTCAGAATTACTGAAGTTGTAAAGGGAGGAAACAAAATTAAAATAACCTCCTTCTATTCCAAGAGTTACTTTCACCTGATTTTCAAGGTCTGGGGTGCAGAATAACAGCCACAAAACATGTAGCATGAATCAAGTGAAGTGCAGCTGAACTGGGTTAATAGTGGTGTAGATGATGGTTTAAAAATTGAGAACAGCTAAAAATAGGACTGCACTGATGTTAATGCTGTATGAGCCTGATAAAGGGACTGATTTCAGAAAGAATTTCTTCATGGAAAGGGTGGTCAGGCCTTGCCAGGGGCTATCCAGGGAGGTTTGGAGTGCCCAGCCCTGGAGGTGCCCAAGGAAGGCCTGGCCATGGCACTCAGTGCTCTGGGCTGGGGACAAGGTGGGAAGGGGGCACAGGGGGGACTCCATGGGCTGGGAGTGGGAGGGCTTTTCCAACCTCAGGGATTCTGGGATTGTGTGATTTTTGTAAGTCACTCTTCAGTCAGTGTCTGGCTCGACCCTTCTCTTCAGAAAGAGCTCAGTGTCCTGGTTTGATCGTGGCCAAAATACCAAGTAATCCACTCAAACAACTGGGTGTACACAGAACTTAGTGCTCACTGCATCCATAATTCAAAGATATTATTGGGATTCAAGCAATGGAGTCACCAAGCAGAGCTGGAGGGTTTGCTGCCATGAGGTGCCAGAGAGACCCTGGAAGGGAATTTCCATCCCACACAAAACCAGGGAGTTCAAACCCACGATGGTGATGACCAAGTGAACCACGAGGCGGGTCAGGCCATCTGTATGCACGGGAATAAATCCCCTGAAGCACCAGAGATCTGCTCTCTAACGATGCCACGGTACAAACACGGCCCTGAGCTGCTTCAGACACGTCCACCGAATTTTGGCTGACGTTTATCAGTTTATATGAGAGAAAATTTATGGCTGCAACTGAAATGAAACAGTGCTTTGGACAAGGAGAAATGGATTGCAGGTGCAAACAAGCATGAAATGAAAATCTACTAATGAGTTTCCATTAGCAGCTAAATACATAATCGAATAATTTTTAGCCAACATAGAGCAATGAGAAAATCAATTTATTCCTCCTAAGTACCACTAAATGGATTGATGCTCTACTAAAGCTAAGGCTGGTTTTGTTTAGTGAAAGCTGAGCTTTGGATTCACCTCACAACAGCAGAAGATGGGTTTGCTTTTGAGTATGAATATTTTCCCTGAAAACCCTAAATAACATAAGGTAATATATATTTAGTTATATATGTATTAGTTAATATGTAGTATTTCCATCTGAAGCCTGGAAGTTAAAATATTTCAGGAAGATGGACCAGCACTGACACATCTTAATTGACTCAGGAATATCCAGTAGTGAACTAAGCCTTGTTCTTCATTGCTCTTGAAGCAACAATGTCCTAAATTTCCTTTCTTCTTCTCTGAAAAACAGCCTCTAACCTGAGTTTTCTTTGCCTGGTGTTTCTCACCCTATTCAATTATGGTAAATATTTTCTTTGAGGCCCTGGCACAGGTTGCCCAGAGAAGCTGTGGCTGCCCCTGGATCCCTGGAAGTGTCCAAGGCCAGGTTGGAGCAACCTGGGCTAGTGGAAGGTGTCCCTGCCCATGGCAGGGGGTGGAATTGATGATCTTCAAGATCCCTTCCAACCCAAACCATCCTGGGATTCTGTGATTTGTGTAAATGTAAAAGACACCTGAAAATACCTTGTTTTCCTAAGAACCTGTAAGAAAATATCCGTGAACTTTAAACCCAAATGAGATGTGAATTGCCTGGAATTTTAACTCGGAAATTAACTCATTTTGTCTAAGAAAATGCCCATATTTTGGATCCATCTAATGACAATTTCCCATTGACTCCAGCTGGCTTTGCATCAAACCTCAGTATGCTCTCCAGCAGGAAAATGAGAGAAATCAGTATTTTTCTGTTTTTCTGCAGAACTGTGAGTGCTGGAGTAACCTGCAGATGCACCTACAGGGATGGGATGAGCAGGAAAGTGGTGACAGGGAAGAAACCAGGACCAAAAGAAAGCCTAAATATGAGTTTCCAAGTAAGTTTTGACAAAGTGTTGGAAAACACACCCTCTCCACAGCCTCTCCAGCTGCACCACTCTGCTCAGTGCAGGGCCAGCTGAAGTGTATCTCCCTTCCCATCTTCCTCTAAAACTCTAAATGAGAAACAAATCAGAATTTTATAACCTTCCACAGCCCCTGCCATAACCCTGTGTATCAGCAGCATCCTTTATCTCCCACCGGCTGGAAAGCTCCCATTTTCATTGCCTGAATCACCAGATTCATTCATCAAACATGACAAATGCCTCCAAAACACTAAATCACACCACTCCATCTCAATGGGCTACATAATCGTTGTCAGGCCACCAATAAATCTGAAAATATCTGTGTTCCACACTCAGATATCTCCAGCTCCTACCAGGGCCGAGAAACTGCAGCAGCAAAGCTGAACCCTAAGTCAAGTTAAATTTAAGAATTTTGCAGGCCCTCAAAAATTTGATCAACTTGTGAATTTGTGTGAGGCTGATTTATTTTTAGGGGGAAAAAAAAAGGTGTGTTTTTTTCTACCCGCAGGAATGATTCATGGACTAAGAGGCTTTTTTTTCACAAGAATAAGGTTATATCTTAGTAAGTACAAAAATATAGAAGGGAAAAGCAATTTCCTGCTCTCCTGGGGAGCTGCCAGGTGTGTGGCATCCCAGAGGACCCAGGGTGGCAGTGGAAGGGGATGGCAATATCCCTACGGCTTCCAGAGGGACAGGGATGCAGCAGAGCTCTGTTTGATGGGGCCCTGCCCCCCAAAGGGCAGTGCCAGGAGAACAATGAGGCCACTGCAGGTTAAACTTTGAGATGGCTCAAAGGAAGGAGAAGTTGGGCTGGGGACACAGGAGCAAAATGCCCCGAGGGTCCCATCTATGAGCTGAGCAGGGAGAGCCACGTGTGCCCTGCAGGGAAAGCAGCAGTGCAGGGCATTGATACCCTCAGTTAATGAGATCCTCAGCCCTTCTCTCCAGAGCTGGTTGGGGAGAGTCAGGTGGTGCTACCCCAGATGACCTGGGCTCACCCAGGAGCACATCCTGCAGTGAACTGGTTTTACTTCCATGGAGCTGGTTCTCCATGGTCAGGGTTTAAACAGAGGGTTAAATCATGGAATCACAGATGGTTTGGGTTGGAAGGGATGTTAAATATCATCAATTCCATCCCCCTGCCATGGGCAGGGACACCTTCCACTGGCCCAGGTTGCTCCAAGCCCTGTCCAACCTGGCCTTGGACACTTCCAGAGATCCAGGGGCAGCCACAGCTTCTCTGGGCAACCTGTGCCAGGGCCTCCCCACCCTCACAGGGAAGGATTCCTTCCCAATATCCCATCTCTCCCTGCCCTCTGGCAGTTTAAAGCTGTTACCCCCTGTTCTATCACTACAGGCCCTTGTCCAAAGTCCCTCTCCAGCTTTCTTTTCTCATTTTAAAACAAGTTTTGTAGAAGATGCAGGAATATAAACATTTCCTCTTCAATGCTCAGAACCCAAATTGAGAAGCCTTGTGTCTGTGTGTGGGATTGCAACGTGGGCATGCAGGAAATCTTTGTTTTCAGTTCACACATGAACCTTGATTTTTTAAAAGAGTGTTTATATGCAGATATTTTCATACACATTGTCCCCAGGCAAGGATCCCCCTCACTGCTCTGCAGCATTTTCTTAGATCTTTGCTGAGTGCTATTTATTGCATTTTTCATTTTAACTAACCCAGGTCAAAAAGGAGACTTGCCTGGGATTTTCACTGTGGTTTTGCCCCCCAGTTCCCACTGAAGCTGAGTGTGTGATTTTGCTGTAAAAGAAAAAAATAATGCTGATTTTGCAAGAATGCAAAACCTGTGCTGATACCAGTGGGAGTTGTGCATCTGAAGTGATTAAAGACCAGAGCCACTGCATGGGATTAGCCTGGGATCTGGGAATGAGTGTGATTAACAAGGTAACTCTGCCTTCTAAATAAGGGGCATCTTGGGGTGACCAAAACCCCCAGTCCTGCTGCTGTTTGTCCTCTGGACTCCTGAAGTTGCTTCTCCTTCCACATCTCTCCAGGTGAGCTGACTTTCCAGAGAGCCCCCCTGCCAGCAGGGCTGTCTCAGACAGGGAGGAAGGATCTGTCAAATTGCTGTGGCTGTAGATAATTCCACTACTATTTTTCCTCAACCCCATCTGATTTACTCCAGTGATAAATCCAATGTGGTGTATAAACATTTATTTCCTTGACAGCCAGGTTTGCTGTTAGAAAAATGCCCGAACCTGGGACCTGTTATGGCAAGTGACAGGTAAAAATTCAGTGTGTGCAGGCTCACTGTGCCCAGGATATACAATTATAGCACTTGAACAGTCAGAAAACACATGTTACAAACCCACAGCCACCTCATTATACTGCAGGAACCACCAGGGATGCAGCTGGGGACAGGAAAAGCAGTTCTTCTCAGCCCCTTGTCATATTCAGTGTTAACAGGGCTTGGGATTAAACTACCTAAAATATTTTTCAGTGGTAAGAACTCAAAGTAATGATTCTTGCAGCCTAATGGCCCCCCCAGACCAATTTTTTAACCCATTTTTTGATGCAGTTTTACCTGACAAGCTGAAGAGAGATGTCAGGAAGTTAAACCTGAGCATGAGGCTGCTTTGATGTGAAAAGCAGTCAGAGGGGATTTTCCCAGCTGAGAATTACAAAAGAACATCATGTTTTAGAGCAGGTTCCGAGGGAAGGGTGTAAACCAGGCACTGCACCAGGATCAGCACAAAGGCTGAGCACCCTGAACATCCCAGGGAATGCTGCTCCAGGGGTCTGTTTTTAGACTGGAGCTTTGTTGCACTTCACTGGGTGCTGAGGGTCTCTGGTTGTGCCCACAGAGCTGAGGAACCTCCCCAGGAGTCACAACCTGGAGCTGCAGCTTCAGGAGCTCTGGCAACACAGGCAGGTTGGCATTCCCAAACTCCCTCAGAGGCTCCTGTTCCACCAAAACACAGGCAGGGTGGGTCTGGCAGGCTCTTCCCTCTCTCCTGTTTGCTGGCAGGACCTCAGGAGTAAAAGATCTGGCCCATGTGGGTGTGGGGCTGCTCCAGACTTGCTGGAACGCAAAAATACGTCTGTGGTGCCTCATCAACCATTTCCACATAAAGAATATTTCAGAAGGAACAGAAAAAATGCTTTGTGCAATTACAGATATCCAACAGGACTTGGGAGGATGGAATGTGAAGAACTGAGTGACCAAATCAGCTTTCTCCTCCTGGAAGAGCTCCATGACATGGCTGCTCTTGGGTGTCCTCCCTTCCCTCAGCTGCCTGGACCTCCTACTCTGCCCTGACACTGCTGAGCTCCTGCACTGCCACGCTCCATTTATCCAAATAATGGGCTCTTGAAGAAAAATGCCACTTTCCCAAGGCTGAGAAATGGCTGGATCAGGGAAAGCAGCACTCGGAAGTTTTCCTGGGAGGTCTCTGTCTGCAGGGCTGCTCAGGAGCTCACCCAGCCCAGCCCTGCACATCCCACCATGGCCTTTCCTTTAAAAACCCCCCCAACCAACCTCCCTCAGTGCAGGATGAAATAGGAACCTGGATTTTTTCAGGTTTCCACATGCAGACTCGTTAACCCCGGGATGCAAAGCTGCTTTCCACAGATGTGATTTCCAAGTGAAATTGTCCCTCATGTCATGGTGCATGGGAATGACCGGTTTGGGAAGCTGTGAATAACAGAACTGTTGTCACCTAGGTGTGCCCAGAGCACTCAATCTCTATTCTGGCCCACAGTGGATGTGCTGAGGTCCTTTTCAGGTGCTGCACGTGCAAACCTAAACCATTATTTTCATGAAAATCAAATCTAGATTGTAGCAAAGCAGCTTTATTGTTGGTACTAAACTAGTTTTCTTAAAATATATAGAATAATAAAAAATATAAAAATATATAATAAAATATAAAAATATATATAATAAAATGTATAAAAATATAAAATAAAATATATAATTATTTTTAAAATTAATAATGCTAACAGTCATTTAATTATGTGAAATCACATTTACTGGTCTGACTTTTCCCAGGGGAATGTAGCCACTAAAAGGAGGTTGGACTTTTTGATCTTGGAGATCTTTTCCAACCTAAATGTTTCTGTGGTTCCATGGTTCCAGAAGAACCCTTCAGGGTGATATAACCAGGTGTGGCTCTGCCCTTCACCCAGAGCACCCACGAGGAGCAGCACTGGTGGATTTGGTGCCCAGGGTGTGGTGATGGACAGACCCTGCCTGTCCAACACCAGCACAGGCCCCTGACATCTCCAGAGCACTTCTAGATTTGCCTTCTCGTGCTCTCTGGGGGTTTGGATCCCTTTGGGTATCACAAGGGGTGGGACTGTGTGAGAACAAAATGTAACAGAAATAAATACTGATGTGTGAGCTATGGAGGTGGTTGGGGTGAAGGAGGCAGGATTGGGAGTGGGAGAAAAAAAATTGCAGTTTTTCCAGTCCAGCTCACCAGTCCCCTGTGTGAGGACTAATTTCAGAGATAATTGGTACATGATTTCCTGATTATAATCTATTGTTGTCTGTGCCCTGCCAAATAAAGCCCTGGCTAATTCCAGATAACCACGGGGTGATTCCACAGTTACTCTGCAGTGAGAGTGAGGGCTGGTTAATGATCTCTAAAGATCACATAATTTCATTCTGGGCTGGTGGTAGTTACAGCAAGCTGGTCACAAAGGGGTCTCTGTGCAGGCACCAGCCCCAGTTAATTCCAGAGGCAGGGGGAAAGAAAGGTGCTGCTGATCCCAGCTCAGCGTGCCAGGATCAGCCCAGAGCCTGAGGAAAAGCATGGGATAATTTGCTATTTTGTGTGCAAAACCACTCCTCAACCCTCTGAAGGGATCAGAGAGCTCCCTCCTTGAGCAGGGAACGTGTGACAGGAATTACCACCCAGGCTTATCTCCAACAGGGTCTTGGGAATGTTTGGGAACTGCTGGAGGCTCAATGGGCTGGAGGTAAAATAAAACCACTGCGGAAAAGCACCAGCACTCATTGCTAATGCTGCTATTTGTCCTGTTTTCCAGTGTTTTCCTGGCTTCAGGTGTGATTCTCCACTTCAATGAACCCTCTGGGTTGGGTTATGGAGGGAGAAGGACTGACCACATTCACCTGTGGTTTCCAGAAGAAGAGAAGGGAGCAGCCAGTTCTCCTCTCCAAAAACAGGCCCTGGGAGCTCAATAGATTGGAAATAACTTAATGAAAACCTACAGTTTGTCCAACAGAATCAGGTAAATGATTTTCAGCTTGCTGGAAATGATTAATGGGTTTAGATAAAATTTGTCAAAGAGTTGTGAACCAAAAGGAAAGAAAATTATCAGAAAAAAAAAACCCAACAGCTTTTGTTTGAAAACGGTGCTTTCATTTCACAGGGAGCTAAAAAAATGCATCTTGGAGGCTTTAAAGGACTGTAAAAACTAACTGGGCTGGATAAAAAATACGAAGTCACCTTGAAATAAAACTTTTTTTGGAGAGTGGAACAACCCAAAAGTATATTTTAATGCCTTTTTCCTTTAATTTCTTTGGCTACAAAGTGAAAAGAAAATAATGGTTATTTTGCAAAGACCATGAAACTGGTCCCACCTGCACCAGCAGTTCAGAATTTACTCCCAACTTAACCAGCTCTGCGGTGTTTAGATTCAATAAAAAGGTAAAATTCTCTTATAAGATTTTTTTTTTTTTTTAAAATCCTGCTCCCTCTTTTTTTGAAGGCTGGAAGGCACATAAAATGCAATTCTCAGCAGAAGGATGTAATTGGGAGAAAATGTAATAGATGGTCCGTGTTTCTCTTTGAAGTTGCCATTGATCAGTGCTGCTGAGACGGGTTTTCTAATCCATAACTCAGAAACATGAAGGAATTGTCACTTTATTCTTTGGGTGTGTGTGATTCACCTCCTACAAAAACAGACTCTGGACTCCTGAGTGGTTTTTATCCAGGTTTTTCTTGCAAGATGGTGTAAAATGGGGAAGAATCAGGCTCCCAGTTGGAGTGTTTTCTGTAATACAGATTTTCCTCACATTAAGGAAAACAGCAGCGGTTTTGGGACTTCTTTTTTATGTCTGAATTTGGTGTAAGAAAACTGCATCTAATACCTTCTGCTCAAAGAATGTGCTCTCAGCCAGCTGAGCAGTAATTAGGAGATGATTCCCCCTCCTCTCGAGGCAGCTTGTGTTGAAAAACCAAACCTTTCACGAAGAGGGGAGAACCATCTGTGTGATCTCTTCAGGAAGAGATGAGTTTTGAGTTGCAGCTCCGTGTAATAACTTGTTCCCATAATGAAGGCAGTTAGTGGGATGAATTCCCGTGGCCCTAATTGGCACAAACCTGCCAAAGGAGCTCTGGCCACAGCTGTTGGGAAGATCAGGGAGTCACAGACACTCCACCAGCTCCGGGACACGGAGGCAGAAATCTCTCTGGAATTGGGGATGCGCAGGAGAAATGTCCTGATGCTTAAAGTGCCACTTGTACTGACAAAACACCTTCTCTGCACCAGCAGGTACTGCCAGGCCTTGATCTCTTTGCATTTCATTATCTCAGCAGAAAACCCACCGTTCCTGGCAGGAGTTTCCAATGGGAAAACATTGAGGACCTGGAGGATCTCACCTAAATCACTGCTGGGCCCAGGTAAGTACCTGATATGGGGGAAACCTGGTCACAGGGAGGGCTCCTGGCTTGAAGAAAACTTCTGGTGGTCAGAAATAAAACATGGAGCAGAAGGGGCTCCCCATGCCTGCTGCCCAAAGGGGGAACACTCAAACCCTGGGGGCAGGCACTTGGCTTCCTGACTCTGTTTTGATAAGAGAGAGAGGGAAAAATTATAGTCCTGAGTGAGGAAATGATGGTGATCCAGAATTCAGAATAACAGTAATTAATAAATAATGAGGAGAGCTGTGAAGAAAATGAATTTTTCAAGGACTCTGAAGAACACGTTTAGAGCTGAGGTCTGGAACCTGCAGGCAGAGAACTACAACCTTCATCTGACTGCTCACACACAGCGGCTTGATCAGAAGTTTGGTAATTAGCTGCTTCTAAATTACCTTTTGCAGCTGGTCTGGTATTGGTGAAGTGGTTTGGAGTGATGCTTTCCACTGCTTTGTGCTGGTTTGAAGAAAGAGAAAGAAAACAGTGATTTGTTCTACCAAACTGTCTTCAAGCAGCAGGTTTTTTTAAGGCCAGTGTATTTGTGATGGGTTGTCCTGCTACTTACCCCTGCTTTTCCATCTCTTTGTGCCAAGCACGCTGGTTCCCACTCAGGGGCTGACTAATAATTCCTCATTAACAGCCTTTTGGGTGTTTTTGGCATCTGTTTTTGCCCAGAACCCTCCTCACCTTCTTCCTTTAGGAATCCTGTCCAGTCCTTCCCCGTGGCCAGAACCTGAGGCAAACAATTCAATATACATGACAGGCAGGTATTTAGATGAGCCTGGATTTGTTAAGGGTTCACTTCCACCTTGGAACTAAACTAAACGTTGTTTTGATCTATTTTTAAAGAAATGCCTGGTTTTGGCTGGGAGCTGCCCTGCTCCATCTGTCCCTTGGATGGTTTTAAATACACCCCCAGTGGTTGTGTCTGTAGGAAGCACATGTGGTTTTATGCCACCAGATGAGGATTCACACAAACCAGGTCTCTCTTACCTCCAGGATTCTTTGGAATGTCAATTTTCAAAATCAAATTTAATGATGATTTCTGTTAATTACTTGGTGCTGGCACATCTGTTGCACTTACAGGTGGATTTTTGGACCTGCTTCTTCCAGTGCCCCTCAGCAGCTTAGGGAGGTGTAGAGGCTGTGAGTGCTGCTTGTTCCAAACCTGTTCCTAGAATCCAAGGACTCAGCCTGTGCCATGCTGAAATTCCCATATATATGGGTGAAATTCCACCTCCATCCCCATATATATGGCTGAAATTCCGTTCCCATTCCAGGGTAGGGGATGATGGGAGCTGGTCATGGGGCTTTTGGCAGTGTCTCCTCTCCCATCTTGGGAGTCTCACTCTCATTGTCTGAAAATCAGGGACTGGGAAAACCACAACAGGCAAAATGAGAAGAATAATGAGAAAAAAAATGACTGTAAAGTGCAGCATTTGAAGGAGAGATTTGCATATTCATCCCTCTTTAAGGCAGCCCCAGTCGTGGTTTAGTCTCCATTGATATAACCCGTGTTAGCGCTGGAATTCTGAGGAAGATTTCCTGCTTTCTGAGGAAGATTTCCTGGCTTCAGGCCCTTACAGGTGGGATGGGGGTGCAGTGGGGAGGCAGTGGGGTGCCCAGCTGCCCCTGGGCATTCCTGACTCCAAAGCCTCTCCAGAGGCAAAGCCTGCTGCTGTAACTCCAGGCTGGGAGCTGGATGTCCACGGGCAGTTTCCCACCAGCCCGTATTGATCAGGGCACAGAACAGTTTTGTTTTGTGCTCAACAGCCCAGCATTGGGAACTGGGAGCTGTGGGGGGCCCAGTGACTTGTGGAGCAGGTTGGAAAGAGCAGGGCTGGAAATTGCCTGGGAATTCCCAGTGTGGTTAACAGGGAACATCAGGAGGAACTGGCTGCTCACAAAGTGCCCTGCCAGGCAAAGCCTGATCGATGTGCTGACAGACATCCTGCTGAATCCCAGGGTCTCACTCAATAGTTCTTAGAATAGGTGAAATTTAGGAGGCAGGGAAGGCATTCCTTTGTATCTGAAGTGATTCAGGGATGGGAGTGTTGTTGAACTAATCAGGAGTAGATGGATGAGCTTTGGAGCTGCCTGGCTGGGTTTGTTTTGTATATATGCTGCTAAACTGTGTTCAAATGGTTGTGACTGAAAAGGGACCTACTTGACATAGAAAACCCCATTTCCCTCCTCCAGAGTGTGTTCTGAGAAGGCAGTACAATATTTTTTCCCAAGTATAAATCCAGGAATTGCCTGGAAACTAGGTTAATATATTCATGCATGAAAGTAGTAACACCCCTCCAGCAATTTTCTCCTCAAACCCCACGACTCCCCCAGGCCTTGCACAGCATCTCCACCCTTCCACAGCCTCACAGGGCTTTTCTGGAGCACTCACTCTTTGTGCCCTTCAGTGCCAACCACCAAACTCTGCCTGAAGGTCTCTTTTAGCTCCTCAGGCATCTCCAGCTCTGTACAGTGTCCTCTGCAGTCGTCGCCCAGCTCAGCCCCAACCACCACCTGCTCCTCTGAGCTTAAGCAGAAGATGGTGTTTGCAGGGGTGCAAAGGTTCCAAAAGGTGATGGCCAAAGTGTTTTAAGGTCTTATATCTTTGCTGGTTAATGTTGATCAATTAGAAAAATCAGGAAAAAGGAGTGAACACTCACAGAGATCCTTGGTTTGCAAAAGGGACTATAAAGGAGGTTGCCTAGAGAAGCTGTGGCTGCCCCTGGATCCCTGGAAGTGTCCAAGGCCAGGTTGGATGGGGTTTGGAACAAACTGGGCTAGTGGAAGGTGTCCCTGCCCATGGCAGGGGTGGCACTGGATGAGCTTTAAGGTCCCTTCCAACCCAAACCATCCCGGGATTCCATGATTCTCAGTATTTGGACGGTACCAGTGGTTGTTGGGCTGATGGTTGTTGGAAGCAGTTCTGAGCAAGGAGGAGGGGATGTGGCAAAGGAAGAGCAAGGTGGCCCTGGACACTGTGTGTCATTCAGCCATTCAGCACAGCAGCCAGAGTTCCAGCTTTTCCAGAACTGCTGCCTGACAGGAAGCCAAGCACTGGAGCAGCAGCGTCGCAGCACCACTGAATTCACAGTCCTAATGGGAGAGGGAGCCAAGGGGCTGACACAGATTGATGGAGGGGACTTTGCAATGCAGGAGATATGATTTCAGGAATTACTTAGATCCCTGTAAAACCTTGTTATCCCAGATTATGCTTCCTGAAATTACAGATCCTCCCTCAAACCAGTGTGGCCATGGCCCGTTTCAGTCCAAGGGCACTTTGTCCTTTAGGTGGAGGGGATCAATGAGGGCTCTGAAGCCACAGTTCCCTCTTTTGGTCACTCCAGGAGGGAGCTGGTGCTGCTGGAGGGGGATTCATGCTCACTGTGCTCCCACTGCCACGTGAACTGGGAATTTGGGGGGAGTTTTGAAAGGGAGGGTGAAAACACGAACTGTAAGGAAAAATTTGGACTGACACTTGACAACTTCTCTGCTTTGTAAATTCTAAAGGAATTTGAATTGCATGATGTGTTTTCACTTGCAAATGTTTCAGACTTGTTATTTTTCCCTTTTTTCACATATTTTAAGCTTATAGCATTGCAAAGTATTTTTTTTAACTCTGTCCTTGTGGAGGAACAAGCAGAGAGCAATAGCTCAGGAATGACTCCCTTGCAACAGCAGCCTGCTTTTGCCTGAGGGCAAAATAATCCAAAAAGATGTTAATGGTTTTAATTTCTAGTGGTGTAAGAGCTGGTGCTTCTGGAAAGGTGTGATCTTTAAACCTGTAGTAAACTCAGATGCCTCAAGCAGAGCTCGGTGAGCTCTGGGTTCATTAGAGGAGCAAAATATTGGATTGTTTGGAAATACTTTGTGGAAGAGCAACTGGAGTAAAGTAAGCAGATGTTAAACTGAAAGGACTGCAATGGGATTTAGTCCTGGGCTGGTTTATGCTAAGGAAGGGCAGGAGAAGCCAAATGTTTGGAAGGGAATATTAGGCAATGGCAGGAGATGTTTAGATAAACAAAAACCAACCTGCTGAGGGCAAGGATTAAGGGATCAGTGGGAGAGAGATGTAAAAAGAAATGAAAGGGAGGGGAAAAAAGGTTGTAATAAAATTCTGAGAGGATCTGGTCAGTTTGTGCCAACTGGATTAACCTCTGTGCCCAGAGATCAGCAGCTCCTGGGACTGTCCCCAGCTCCCAGGGCAGGTGGTGTGCCCGTGGCCAGCAAGAGGCTCCTCCAAACTGGGGGTGGAAAACACAAGGAAAACTGAAGCTTGTAAATGTTATGGTGGGGAGGAGGGGATAGGAAATGGGCTTTTTTTGCTTAATGCCAGCTGGTGCCTTGTCTTTCATGGAAAAGGAGAAAGAGGAGGGAGGAGGAGGAGGAGGTTGGCTCTTCCATGGGAGAGGAGGAGGATGGGAAGTTGCTGAGGAAACGATTGTATTTCCTGGCGTGATGGGATGGGAGAATTTGACCATCTCTTGATAGCAACAAAAATGTCTTTGCAAAAATTCTGTGCTTTCCTGGTGAAGAAAAGCCAGGAGAGCTGAGTTCTGTGCCCTTGGAAAGGAACTGGGATAAAACAAATGTGGCCTTTGAAGGTCCTTTGAGGCAAGACATGGTGAATGGAGCATCCCAGCTTTGCATCCTCTCTGTAAAGGGACAACTTTCTGTTGTTCTCTTTTTTCATTACCCTCCACTGCAGGAAATACTCCTCAGATACTGAAAATAAACAGCAGCCCTTTTCCTACCATTTCCCAACAATGCTTCCAATTTATCGAAGCCTCTGCCCGTCTCAGGAGCGTGAAGCCCAAGTGATGGCCCCCGCACCATCTGCTGCCTGCCTGGCTTTGGCACTTTGGGCTCTTGGCAACCCCCTCAAAAAGCATTTCAGTGGGAAAAGCACCATTTTCCCCTCCTTTCCCCAACTGGAGCTTTCCTGTTAATGGCCCACATTTCCATTTCCACGTGCAGTA